GAATTTACATTGAGTTGGAAATTTGAATTTTTTCGTAAATTAAATTTCAAATGAATAATATTGACAATAAATGCTGATGAATTTACATTGAGTTGGAAATTTGAATTTTTCGTAAATTAAATTTCAAATGAATAATATTGACAATAAATCCTGATGTGTTAGGAATCTGAATTTTTCGTAAATTAAATTTCAAATGAATAATATTGACAATAAATGCTGACATGTTAGGAATTTGAATATTCATTGGAATATACTAAATGATTAGCATATTTTTTTGAAGGTAATTTTAGTAAAAAGGTCAGATGTCGATAAGAAAGGTAATTAATTAATTTCATAAGATATACATTATTAATAATATTTTTGTAAGGATGAATATGAGATTTTGCTAATAGAAGCAGCATTCCACAAACACATTCCATAGGAAATTGCCATGTTGCCTAATAAGAACCTGTATTTTTAATACTATCTGCGACATGTAATAAATAATGAAAACAAAGTTTCATTGCACTAACACATTCTTTAATATAACAGTAGTATTCCCTATATGATATTAAATAAAGTATTAGTTTATAGTATTATTAGGAATAAAAATTAAATATATATTTATTATATATATTTACCTTTCATAATGCTTATAAAAAGCTAATAATAATGTTTGAATTTTGGATACATCTTCACTAAACAAATGTAATTTTTTGCATAATCTGACTGCTTTAACAAATAAAGCCCAACCTTCATAATATATTGTTGAAAGCCTATTTTTCAATAATGGTAATGAATATATTGTAATCCATGCTGCCCATTCTTCTGCCTTATAGCCAGCATGATGAAGAATAATATTTTAAGGTGAACGTCCAAGATAGGATGAAAATGTTTTTTCGAGCTTTATGCATTAAGTTTTCAATTTCATTCCATGTAGTATTATTAAGAATATACAATCCATTATTTTCAGTGCTGTTACTAAAAAATGTACCATTCCAATGTTTAAACATATATTTTGCAACATTTTCAAACATTAAATGCATTATATCTAATGCAAATGAATATGGAAATGTTGTTGAAGGTAAATCAAACAATATGCTTCGATGCTTTATTCCTAATATTATAATTAATATATTAAAATATACTGTAATTTAAAATAATTAATATATTATATTAAAATAAAACTTACCATAATTTTGTTGCAATTTTTTAATTTCTTGTTGGGTTGTTGCATGTTCTAAATCTTTTATCATTTCTTTATATTCTTTATGTGACCTCAAAGGTAAATTATTTGGATCATAATTTATTAAATCAAATTCTACAGGAGGAGTAGTAGAATAATATACATGATTCACGTAAAGTCCTTTGATATTACAATAATGGCATTCCTTGTATGAATTGTGCTCACTTAAGCACATCATTTTAGTTAGACCTGGTGTATCTTCAGACCAAGATAAAATATGCGTCTTTAATATAAAATGATTTTTAGTCATTCCATCTATACAATTAATACTATCTATTTGTGAAATAAAAATTTGTTAGAAATAAATTTATAAATCAATATAATAACTGTAAAAAAAAACTTAACTGGCTAGTTCTTTAAGTTCTTCAACAATTGGTTTTATAAATGAATTAAAATCCTTTGGTTCTTTAGGTCCAGAAATTATTGATGTAATTAATAAATTTTTCTTAAGTACTCATTTTTCTAGTAAAAGATTGACATTTATAAATAATACAACCCAACAATCATCAGTTTTTTGTCTAAAAATCTGATAACCGTCAATAGATCCAGTTAAAGCAATATCATGTTCATCTTGAAAATATCCCATTTTTAGAAGATCCAAATAACAATTTCCATCAAACACATCTCCTATTTTACCATCTTCGCCAAATCCACTACGTGATGTATATGTATGTCGATATCGTAATTCATTTGCACGATTTGGATTCTCATACTGTATCTTTAAATGCTCTTTTAGAGAAAAACATGTAAACTGATAACGTGATTTTTTCTGCTGCCTATGATTATTTTTTCGATATCTAGGTTTATTACAGTATGGACAATGAATTTTGTTCTTAAATGATCCAGTACACGCACAGCATGAATGAATACACATGTCAAACCATTTTGGTTCAATATTTACTAATTTTTTCAACACAGTCTTTATATGGTAAAGACTAATTGGATTACTACTTGTGGCCTTCGTTATTTGGTTAAATGCATTGTCTGTTAAATTGCATTGAATTTTAATTTCAAAGAGCCGCAATGCACATGCCAAGTCATCTGTTATATTCAACTCAGATTCACCTAAACCAGTTTAGTATCCCATTAATAATTGAATTAATTTTATAATTAAAGATATAAATTAAAAACTTACTATTGTTTATATTTTCAGATAAATCTGATTCATATAAATCACCTAAAGGTGTATCGTAATTATCATATTCTTGAACCAATTCTTGTTGCATATAAAGATATTGTAATTCATCAAACTCAGCATCACTTGCGTCACTTGAAACATTTGAATTATCATCATAATTTGTATTATTTGAATCGTTTGAATTATCATAATCCTTTGCATCATTTATATAAACACTTGCTTCACTTAAATTGTTTGAATTATCATCATCCTTAGCATCATTTAAATAAACACTTGCGTTACTTGAATCATTAAAATCATGATTATTGTAATAATATTTTTGTGTTCCATCCATTTCATCCATAAAATTATCTTGATCATCGTTTCTATTATTTCATTCATTAGTAAATTTTTGCATCACATTAAAAGGAAATGAAACCTTAGTAACCTATATACCTTTCTTCCAAAAGATTATTATTATCATCAAAGTATTCTAAATCCTCTAAGGAAATAATTTTTTGTCTATTTATACTTATACTCCAATTTAATTCTTTTTTTCTATGCCTTCTAAAGGTGTTTATTGAAACTAATTTACCTCCTAATTCTGAATTTTCAGCTTTGCAAATAAAACATTTACAAAATTCAGACATTGTATGAAATTTAAATAAAAAAAATTTTTTGTTACGCTGATAATCTATTTCAATGAATACAAGTTGCACAGATCTTATTAAAAATTTTTTATTTCTTAAAATGGAATAAAAGGTGTGTAAACAGTAATTTGTTGGTTATTTTTTGTGGAACGAATATTGTTTCAATATATCCTGTAATGGAGGTAATAATCGTAGTAAGAACAATTGTATA